ATACATAACTGCTTCCTTTTGTTAGCAGATACTTTTACATTCTGCACTTTCAACAGGAGCTGAAAATAAATACCTAGATTCCAAGCTCTTAAGAGCCGAGACATTCTCCTCATATATGCCTGCTTGACACACAGACCCAGTTGAGAATGTTTTAGTGGGAAAATTGAAAGCTTGCTTATTGTGAAGGTTATAGACTCTCTGCACATGGGCTGCTGCCACTATGGATCAAGCTACCCAGGGATACCCATTCTGATGTCGCCTCCAAATCAGCGACTGGGGCTAGTGCCATGCTCAGCCACACCTAGTTAAATCCTTGTCCCACTTTATCTCTCTCTCTCACCCACTAAAGTGATACACAAGGAAATATTTTTAAATTCCCTAGCCCAGCTGGCCAACCTCCTCCTACCTCATTTGTATTTTCTAAACATGGGAGTGAGAGTAAGGACAAGAGATTGTCAAAATGGAATTGGGGGCTTGGTTAGAGTAACAGGAACCTGAACCTTTTGCCTGTTTTCCCAACTCACAGTATTTGAAAACTAGCACCTTTTCATTGCTGTCTACTTAATTGTAGGCTCTTTTCTTTTGAACAAGTATCCACTTGGTGAAAAAATAATCTCCTTACAATGACAAGCTGTTTTATGTTTAGTTTTTACAAAGAGCAATAATTAAGAGGGCTGGAGAGGCAGATCTGTCTGACCTTTAGAACCATTCCTTCCAGGATGGGATTGAGGCACACTGGCAAGTCACCACTTCCATATTTCCTGAAAAGCACTGGCAAAAATAGAAATACTGTAAACTGGAACGTAGGAGTAAAGTGTAGAATCTATGGTAATGCCTGTAACTGTCAAAGATTCATGTAAGAGAAACATCACCTTTGAGATGCAGGAATATTTATATAATACGCAAGAAGGTAATATATTGCACATATTGAGTGACTAACTGTTCAATCTCCAGGTGAAAGGCTAAACAAATCAAAATGTGAAAAGAGCATCCTAATGCCATTGCCAGAAGCAGGTCACCTTTCCAGAGTGAATATAGATGGTGTCAGACTCAGAACATGTGTTCTTAGTGCTCTTCCATCCTTGACCACATCCCCTTTGGGAACATAGATCCTCCCTGGGATGGCTATCCACCTTACAAAAAGGCTCTCTGGCCACATCCACACAAGCATGCACATACTTTTTGCAACACCTCAAAGGCTTTTGAGGTGCCACAAAACGCACCCTGCACACATGATTTGGTTCTCTATACTGCTGGGAAATCCCAGTATCAAAAAAAAAGGCATGGGGGAAGAAAGTGGGGCCGTGCATGTGGTAGCAGCCATGCTCTGGCTGCCAGCCAGGCTCTGTGCTCCCAGGTCACCACCCAAGCACCTAAACAAGGCCATAGAAGGAAGGCAGCAATGAAATGCTGCTGCCTAGGCCGAGCTGCCCATTAAGGCAAAGCGGGGGTACACTCGCAACCAGCCCAGGGAAGTCACCTGACCAGAGGGAGGCAGGGCTGAGGGAGCATATGAGCCTAGGGCCTGAGCCAGGTCAGACAGTCGGGATCTCAAGGCTGCTGAGGAAAGAGCTCGTGGCTGATGCTTGGACTACCCTGAGAGTACTGCAAGTAGGATACTGTTGACTTGCAGGAGAATATGACTCTGGGCAGTGGGGAGCTTTGTGAGAAAGCCACCGATGTTTGTTTTCAGATCTAGTTGGGATTTTGGGTTATAGCCTGAAGGCTTATTCCTTTGTTAAAGTTTTATACTGGCGGCTTGGGGTGGGAATAGGGTGGTGGAGGTCACAGCAGAGCCTGGGAGCAGGATGGAGACTAAGCCACAGCAGGCTCAGTTCCCAGGAGTAGAGCAGAGGCTGAACCCCAGAAGACTGGTCCAGCACAGTGGGCCTGGGCTAGTTGACCTAGCAAAAGGAAAGGGGCAGAGGCCGAAAAGGCCAAGACCCCTACAAGGGTGGCTGATTGGACAGTAATATCTGCAAGGCATGGGCATGGCTACAAGGGAGGTCAGAGACCATGAAATTAGCCCTTTAGACAGTAAGTGCTCGGGGCATGAGCATGCCAGGAAGGCTCACTTGTGGGGCAAGTCTGAGACTAGCAGACTTCAGGAAGGATCTGCTGGCTGGCAGATAGATGAAGGCTCATTCAGAGGCTATCAGACAACCTCCCTTTTTACAAATTGACCAAGTACATCAAGGCGTAACAGGCGGGAGAAAGGAGGGTACCCATACAGCCAAAGTGGAGCAGGCACCCCAAGGCTACCAGGGGATGTTGCAGCCACCCCTGGCACCTGATGCATGCTTGACTACCTTAGCTCCCTGCAGTCCAATCCCAATTCAGTGCAACTTGCAAGATTTTGTCCTTTATATTTGTATGCTTTTTTTCACTCCTTCTCTTTACTTCCCCCCATCCCTATTTACTTCAGACAGGGTTTTTTTCCAAGTCTTCTCCCCTTCCACCTGCAGCTCTGGCTGCAGTGAGGGAAGCCACATGGTGGTTTCTCTGTCTTCTAGCTGCATGCCACCCTCTCCCCTCCTCTTCCACCATTACCCCATCATGCATCTGTCTTCCATTCAGTGCCTGGAGTGCACTGTGTGGGGGACTGGCTCACTGCCCCACTTGCTCATGCAACAGCCTTGTGCACTCCCCACAGCTTTTGTCCTGAGTGAGGGGGTGAGACTATCAAATCCTTTCACATTTCAAAATCAATACGTGGGTGGGCAATTCTGGCTTCAGTATACCATATTTCTTTATATTCAGAGGATGCATCAAGCAGTTTTCAGAGCTTTTTGCAGTAGGTACAATAACCAGAAAAGCATATGCAAAAATAAGAACCCTAAAGAGAAATTATGCATATTTTATTATTAGATCATGATAATTGACTCACTATTTCTCAAAGGACGCAATCTGTTATGAGGACAGATAAACATAAATAAGCAGGGAAAGAAAGTAAATTAAGTGCACATGCAAGTTATATTAATAGTGTAAGTGTGAAAACAGGAACTTTCTTACTCAGAACATTTTCTGTTTTATTTACATTATTTTGTACTTGGTTACTTTTCATGTTCTTAATATCCTCATATATACTGAATATATGTGAAAATAGATATTAAATAAGAAAAAATATTTAAAAGTGTGTGTATATTTATTATGATAAAATGTAAGATCTAGTTTATGTAACTAGGCTATGTATGTAGCAGAACTTTCTTATAACTGATTAAATTTAAGAAACAAACTAGCATCTAAAAGGGATTTAAAGGACTAACCCTTTTCTCTTTCCCCTGTATTTATATGGGTAGGCAAAGTAATTTTTCACACTAAAAAATTCTCAACTGGGTCTTTGTGTCAAGCAGGCATATATGAGGAGAATGTCTGCTCTTAAGAGCTTGGAATTTAAGTATTTATTTTCAGCTCCTGTTGAAAGTGCAGAATGTAGAAGTATCTGCTAAGAAAAGGAAGCAGTTATGTATAGTGAGCCTCCTGCTAAATTCAATCACCTGTTAATTCAAGCTTTTAATTCATTTACTGAAAACAATAGGAACCAAATAATTTCTATCAGTAGCTACACAATTTCCACCCTTTCTTTTGACTCCAGGCATGCATTAGTAGGTAATTTAAATCACTAGCTGTATAAAGTTGTCATTTAATAGGGAAAGGTCCAGTAGCCTTCATGAAATTAAAGAAAGGAGAATTCAAGGAAGATTTATAATGACAATCAAGGGAGACTGGCTAGCTCTGAATGCTGGCAACAGACGATAGATTTCCTTCTCTGCCTTGGTATCTTCCAGTCCTTTCAACATCTGGGAGTGAGTATTACGTCTAATGAGTTGAGGCCTTTCAGGCTTGATTTGTAGAAGGAGTTTAGGTGTCTAAACACTCAGGCTTACAAAAGGACCTAAGAAACAAACCTCAGTTGGACATGTACCTTGCTGCTTCTATTCATTCCACTAGACTTGCATCTTTTTGTGCTTATACCTTGCTGAATCTCACCATTAGTCCATTTCCTCAGAAAAGAATGTTGTATTTATGTAGTCCACTTCCTTCAGGTACATAGGCATTGCAAAACCAGTTCAGACCAGTATTTTGTCTCCAGGGGCAAGGTTGAGAGTGGGTGTAAGGATGCAGACACATCCCCCTTTCAGCTGACGCTGCTGGAACAGCAGTTGGACTTTTTTAAGTCCTTGAAGGAAGTAAGAATTGCCCCCCTCTCTCCCTCTTGGTGGCATATCCCTTCCCCTCCCATTGACCCCCTCCACTGCTGCTGTCCCCGCTGACCTGGGGTCTGGCGGGTTCCACAGCCACTCCAGAGCTTTCCAGCTGGGCTCTGCAGTGAGCCAGGCTCAGGTGGGGACAGCAGGACTACTGGGTAGGTTCCTTCTCCCTGCTTAGTTCCTCTGGGCCTGCCAGCCTGGGAGCAGGTACAGAAGGGAACCCGCTTACTGTCACTGCTGTCCCCAGCCAATTCTAGCTCCCTGCCCGGCCCAGCTGCAGCAGGGCCTCTGGAGCCTTCCCACTCTTTGGAGGCAGGGGAAGCAGCAGTGGGCAAGGGAGAGAAAGAGGGGAAAGGAAGGGAGGGACGTGTCACTGAGCGCACAGAGGAAGGGATGTGGGGGACCAAGAAGGGGAAGAAGAGATTCTTATCTGATCGGAGGACTTAAAGTCCCCCATTGCTCCCACTGCAGGGTATACCCACCTGGTGGGAAAGGGGAGCTAGGAGCAGGGAGTGCAACCACCCCTGCAGCATTAGTGGCTGTTCCCATACTGTCCTTTACAAAATCCTGGATCTGTCCATGTCTGTGCCTGGTAGTGTCCAGTTACAAATTAGTCAGAGAGATGCAAGAAACCCTAGAAGGGAAATCTGTAATTGGTTTACACTGAAAAAAAAACCACAAAAAAAGATTTTTGTTCTAATGTCATTGTGTTTTCTTTATCTATATGCTTTCCTAATCCTTTTTTTAACTCATTTCAGCTCTTGTCTGAATGATAACTTGTAGCAGTAAGTTCCAAAGGCAGCAATTTAAGGTATTCTAAATGTGCTGCCTCTTTTTACTTCTCACAATACAAGAAATTAAATAGGAGATAGCTATTTCTACTATTCCTCATGTTTGTGTTTTTATCACATTTTCTCTATACTGCCTCTCTGTACTAAACTAAACGGCATGAGTCTTTCCAAGCCTCTCATCATTTTTTGCCACTTACCCTGGAACCCCTATTTATGTTCTTTTGAAAAAGGGTAACCTGAACTGTTCCCTAGATAAAGGCATGACATTGACTTGTGTACTCTCCTATTTTTAGGATTTATATTTATCCCATGCGTGTTCCTTATGGGACTGCACACTGAATTGAGGGGTTTTCACTGAACTGTCTAGAACAGACTTGTATTGGAGCAGATCCTGCTCTTTCAGAAATCCAGTACTTTTCTCAGTAAGGTTGTGATCTCTTTCACCAGGATCTTGAGCCTAAACTATTATAAGCTGTACAAATTTCACTAAGATTGGCACAGAAAAATTATTTGGATCAACCGGTATAATTTCCTAAAGCAGATTATAGTCGGGAAAACAATACATCTATCCAGATGCATATATATATGAGGGCAAGGAAAACAATTCATGGCCACAGAGTCTCTCTCCCTGGTCAAAATTCCTTCTCCTGGATTTATAAATGACTGCCATGGCCAGTGCCAGAAGGATCACCAAGAGGCCTCTGGATTTAGCAAGACTTTGTATCACACAACCAAAAATGAAAAGGTGCCAAGAAAGTGTAGCCAAGGACCTAGAAAACAGATTCTGAAGGAGGCAAAAAAGGGGTTGCGGCCCAGTCCTCTGGAAATCTAAAGGGTACAATCTCCCTCTTGCCAGAGTAGGGGCAAATAGGAAGAGAATCGGTGATCTGCGCCAATAACATAACCATGCTCAGCACTTAATAAAGGGATTCTCATCTTGCACCCAAGGCAGGTCACAGAACAAAGCTGGGCTATATTGCTTCCCCAGTGATGGTTATCAGCCTCCAGTGGAGGTAGGGAGCCCTGCCACTGGCTGTCTTAAGTGAGAGAAAAATAGGGTAGGTATTGAGCACAAGTGTATAAAGATGTTCCCTGGCTGTGGTTGGAGGTAGCTGGAGGTTCAAAGAATAGATTGTACAGTAAGGCCATTAAGTGAAAGTCCTTGCCTTCAATGACCATGTAAGTTCTTTGAACATAGACCAGACCCTTATAGAAGAAGCCCAGAGCCATTTTCTATGCAGTTTCCTCCACAAGGGAGGTCACAGAAAAGAATTTGCATTAATAGAATTTGAAGAAGAGAAAATCTTGGTTCCCTCTTCTAAAAGCCCACACAACTTCATGATTCATTTATTATTATCATAACTCATGCATTACAATACATGTAAGGGGATTGCGGAAATGTTTAACTTTAGATGAGGAACTGCCAACCTGAAAAAAGTCTAGCCAGGATATTTACTCTGAGGCTCAGGCTGCAAGAGGGAAAGTCTTTGGCACACATTGACATCTGTTTCCCTGAGCACCAATCCATTCAACCATCTATTGAGAAGAAAGGGAGAAGAGTTTAATGGCAGTGGTGCAGAGCTGGCTGCACACGGATAATCCCAATTAAACTCTTTGACCAAACATGACATGATCAGTACAAAGATTTGCAATTCTATGGAACCCAGCAAAGTTTATCTTGGAGCTAAATGCAGATGGCTTTCCTATGAAATATCCATAATCAATCCAGCTGGACACCTTCTCCAGTCAACAGACAGGTAGGCAAGCGTCATCATTCTTACTGCCAGCAGAAGAAGGTCTGGAACCATTTAAAATGAGTCATCAAATATAATCCTCTTTGGGGTGAATCACTTTCATTAGCATAGACTTCAGTTATAATTTCATTATGACAGAAGTGATAGCACATCCTCAGTGCACAGAGGCCTTCTTTCTTGGGGAATAGAATGAGCACAATCTGCCTACATGAGAGAGTATATGCGAAGTGGGTTCAAATGCATCCCCCTGAGCTGGATGCATAAGGGGAAAATACATAATCAGCGCTATCATGGTGGAGTATCATTGCCTTCTAGTGGCAGTTTTGGTCACTGGGCTCACATCTAGAGGAAAAAGTGAGAAAACAAAAGGCGCAATGTAGACAAGAGTAACTTGGAAAGTAAGTATATTGAGAACCCCATTTTTCTCCCCTTAACCCAGCAATCCCATGTAGCCTCAATTACAAGTCTAGAGAGCAAACACTCTAGTCCTGACTCTCCATCTTCCATTTCTTGAGACAGTTCTAAGAATGTATGTGCTACTTCCAAATGCATGTATCACATAACACATATAGATTAATAGAATATAAGCCCAGGATGAATGATGGTCAGTGATTCTGACCTGCCTAAATGCAGGCCCTAAGGCTTCTTTGAATTAACTTCCATTTGAAGTAGAACACATCTTTTTAGAAAACCTCCCAGTTTTGATTTGAAATTTTCCAGTGATGGAAAACTAGCATCTCCTTTAGTAAGTTGTTGCAAAGGTTAATTACCCTCACTGTTAAAGTATGCACTTTATTCATACCTGAATATGTAGTTTCAGTTTCCAGCAGTTGGATCTTGTTATGGCTTTTCCTGCTAGAGAGCCCTCTGTTATCAAATTTCTTTTCCCCATGTAGGTATTTTTATACACTGTAATCAAGTTACCTTTTTACTTGATAGGCCTGTTGATCTGCTACAGAGGAAGCCTGCTGAGTACAGATGAGCTATATTTATCTTCCCAATAGGATGCAGCCGTTAAAGCATCTTGCCAGATTAGCTAAACTGGGAAGGAAATAAACAGTGAATTGCAAAAGCCTCAAAGGTTCCATTTGGAGAAGTATTCTCATTTCAGGTGCTTTACTGAAAGCTTTCTCCATATCATTTTGGGTATGAGAGAAATAGGGGTGTGAGCTTCTGTCTGCAGAGGAAGAGGAATCTGACTTAAACAAGTAGAAGGGATTTTTTCTAAAGAGAGAAACTGGGCAAATGTTTGTCATATTTTTTAGTAGTAGAAATATTTGCTTTGAGCTGCATTGCTGCTTTCTACTATAAGTGGATGAGTTTCCTTATTTCACACTGGCTCTGTCATTATCTTTTATCTCCAGTGAAATAGTCTTTCACTTCTGTTGTCCCAAAAATCACCATGTGCTCTTATCAGGTAGGGCTGATTCTCGGTTCTACATGGCCCAGTGTGAAGTAAAGACAGGCAGGACTTCGGGTACTTTTTTGCAACCCACATAATTTGGCATCTAACAGGGCCCATGGTTCTTGTTAAGAAATTAAAGATGTTCATGTAGATTTGCTAAGCAGTGTGCCAACTAGAAAGTTTGTGGTAGTCTAAGGGTCATCTTTCCATGGTGGGGGTAGATTATGATGGGCAACGCAGCAGAGGAAGTTTTAGAATGCATCTCAAAAGGGGATATGACAAAACAGAACCACTGTTTGGAGGTCTGCAACCTGTGCAGTTTTGCATTTTTGTACTTGTCTAGCTAAGATTGATACAGAGTTTCCAGTGATGTGCAGCTCCCCATTTCACATTGCTGCATGCCACATTTTCTTCAGACATTGATGCAACATCTTGGTGTGGAGGGGCAGGCTTGTAACATCTTCAGGTGTGGGACTCTTCGGTAGCCAAACAAGGATAAATCCTTAAAATTCGATCCTATTGCGCAAATACTGGGATGAGTGGTGACAGCTAAAATGGAATAGGCATGAAATTGTGGGGTAACTGGAGTTTCTTAGATAAAAGGCAGCACACACAAGTGCAGTGGATGATTCTTCTTTCTTTTAGTTGTGATCACTCTTTGTATCTTTCTTTTTCAGAAATTCTCAATAATGGGCTCCACATAACACTTTGGTTCTGAAGAACCAGTAACTGTTGAATTGTTCATCTGCGATGGAGAAGACAGCCAGAGAAAAACAAGCATCAAGGTCACCATCTTGTTTTTTATCTCCCAGCAGCCATGCACCCCACATCCACAGTGGGCTGCAGTAGCAAAAGGAAACCTCTGGCAGATGGTATTCCATCCACTTGTGTCTTTATGTTGTCTTTCTCAATTTCGCATCCTGTAATCCGGTGGTGAAAAGAGGAACGATGACTTTTTATAGCTGCTGCTTGATTGTCTTGGCATTTTTTTGGAACACCTCTGCCTATGGACCAAACCAACTGGCACAGAGGAAGGGAGACATTATTCTTGGGGGACTGTTCCCCATTCATTTTGGAGTGGCTGCCAAAGATCAGGATTTAAAATCTCGTCCAGAATCAGTGGAGTGTATAAGGTAAGCCTTACCCTAACCCTTCATTATTCTATTCTTTCTCAACCAAAGTTGTTACTTCAGTATGAATTTTGCCTGATAAAAGTTTTCAGCTCAGTGCTTTATTGGTATATGTCTAAATTGCTTTGTCCACTATGGAGTATAGCCACTTTTATTATGAAATATGACTATCACGGCGCTGCATACAGATAGCAATTGCAGGTTTGGAAACAAAGACAAATATTTAATCCAATTGAAACTTCATGTAAGCAAAATATAAGCGCAGAGTTTAGAATTTGATCATAACTATGTGAAAGATTTCTGTTTTTCAGGGCTTCTACTTTATATCTTATTTGAATAATAGCATATCTAGCACACTGATATCTAGTCCTAGGTTGGAGAATTAATCCAGAACTGATAGAAATGGTGAATGACAAATTGCCATTACTTCTCCTGCTGCACTTTGGAATTCTTCCTTCTCCCATCCAAATACTGAGTAGGTCTGATACAGCTACCTTTATAAGGTCAGACGGGATCACAGAACATTGGTGTGAATAAAGAGCAGATAAAAGCACTATATAATAAAAAATCCTAATGCTTCCGTTGTATCTAGTGCAATCACATAAAATATAAACGTGTATAATGTGTGTGCATATGAAGTTTTGGAGAGTGAGATATTTTTACACACACACACACACACACACACACACTCGCAGTGTATGGCATTATAAAGAAGATATGCTGCAGACAGAGAGACTCTGTGTGTGTGTGTGTGTGTGTGTGTGTGTGTGTGTGTGTGTGTGTGTGTGGATAAAATATGACAAACAGTTGGCCAGAGTTTCTATCTGTTTTCAAAAAATCCCTTCTACTTGTTTAAGTCACATTCCTCTCCCTCTGCAGACAGAAGCTCACACCCTCATTTTTCTCATACCCAAAATGATATGGAGAAAGCTTTCAGCAAAGCACCTGAAATTAGAATATTTATCCAAATGGAACCTTTCAGAATTTTGCAGTTCACTGTTGTTATATGTCTGTCTCTGTCTCCAACATACCTTCTTTGTAAAGCCATTGTGGGTATCGGCTGGCAAGGTTCTTTGTATAGATGTGATATACTTTATTAGATCAACTGAGTAATTGGAAAAAAAAGTTCTTAGCAAGTTTTCCAGCTCAGTCACTCGCGGTGGGCCCCTGGCCCTTTTGACCGTCCTGGTCCTGGCCCCAGCATGGGCCACTGGAGGGTACTGGCCCCTTTCCCTCTTCTTCCTCGCATCGGGATCGTCTCCCTCTGTGCCCGAAGGATCATTTCCTTAAGGTACAGCCACCCGTCCTGGGCTCCCATCTCTTCAAAACTCCTACTCTGCAGTGCGTCCTTGACTAATTGCCTGAGTTCATTGAAATCAGCTTTCCTAAAGTCCAGCACTTTCACCCTACTGGTTACCTTACCCACTTGATGTCTTATGATGAATTCTATTATTTGGTGATCACTGTCCCCCAGGTGACTACCGATCTGTAGGTCCCCTACCATGTCATCCCCCGTTGCCAATACTTTTCTGCCCTTTCTGCCTATTTACATTCTCACTGACATCCTGCCACACTTGTAACTTCTCTCATTCCTTGTAGTCTCAGAACAGCAGACTCCCTATGCCTGAAGAAGGGTGATTGCACCCAAAAACTCACTAAGAACTTTTTTCCAACTACTCTGTTAATCTAATAAAATATATCATACCTACTCAAAGAACCTGTCCTGCCTATGTCCTTTGACTAACACGGCTACAACCAAAAACCCAGCAGCATAGTGGGTAACAGCATTGATCTTGGTTCTCTGTTCCCTAACTCTCAGATGCAGTACTGCATTTTAAGTGTGAACAGTTGACATTGTAAGGACACAACCTCTGTTTAGTCATATAGGGCCTGGTCCCAAAAGACTTTGGATCCATTTACCTCAGTAGACTTTAAATCTGTACCAGATTAAAGCAAAACTGTTAAGTCTCCTTAGGCCATGGTAAACTGCTTTTTGCTAAGCACTTTCTGTTGGATTTGTTTGTGAGAACAAGATTTTTTTTGTGTTGGAACTGGGCTATCTCCTGGCACAGAATGATTATTCCTCCTGTAACGTGGGCTGATCATGAACTATCACAAAACAGATCACAGTATTCATAAATGTATTCACTGCTTTGAGACTATTTGGTGTTCCTAGTCTGAAATGTGACCTGTTTTGACAGGATGGGCTCAAATATTGAGCTATGGAAAACTAGGTTTTAGTGCTGCTATAGAAGTGAATGTGCAACAGTGACAGCAAACCTCCTTTTCAGTAGCTGGGCCATTTTGGTGCCATGGTGGTTCTTTACATAATTTACACTGATGACCAAGTGGAGCTGTTGCATTAGGTGTGATCATAGGTAGCCTCAGACAACCTCCCATTTCCTTTGCCATGTCCCTTGTTCCAGCATCAGAGAAGGATCTGTTCAGGAGTTGCTTTATTGTTTCCTTTATTGTATGGTAGTAAAGCTTTTGGGCTAAGGAAGACTGAGGAGAAGCATATTGTTGATTCCAGTTGTCTGTGTCACCAGTTCCACTTTAAGTGGCAGGCCAAGATCTTTGTCTGAACCCAGCAAGCACTTCCCTCAGCAGTAGTTTCATTTCAGTTGCTGTCTTGGTAGGGACAGGCATTAGGCAGGCACAAGAATGAAATATAAAATATGGTATCCCTTGATAAACACTGTGCTGGTGGTAATCACATGATCACTAAAAGCTTTGGTGACAGTATGATTGTCAGCAATGGACAAATACAGAACACCCAACCAGACCCTTTTAACAGCTCTATGAGGGAGAAAGCTGCATGGCACTTGATCTGCAAGGAATCTGTGTTCCTCGTGGATTTTCCTTTGATTATGAAGAAAGCATTTCTATACCACTGAAGAATCGTCTTGCCTGGGGAAGTTCTTCGGTGCCTGGCTACAGAGGCATTAGGGAAACTTTGAGAGACCAACACACATATGCCAGGATATCATAAACTGACAATGCTGGATTATGTAGCAAGAGCTTAAATGAGTATCCCTCATGGCAGGGAAGGAACAAGATTGTAAAGAGAGCATTTCCTTTTTCCATGCTCTTCAGCTGGACTCCAGTGGATCCCTGCATCTTCCTCTTGCAGGAGTAGAAAAAATGTTATGACTGCAGCTGGCTGGAAATTAATTAGTTTGTTCCCCCTCCCATGAAGCATGCCAATTTATCAGAATTGAAACTTGTAGGATAGGGTTGGTTTCAGCACAGCTGTTGTTGGGAAGATTTCTTCAGCCTAGAATGGAATTTCCAGTCAAAATGAGAGGGCATATTATCCCCAGACAGATGATAGCCCATGTGCTTAAAGCACTTATCTGAGATGAAAAAGACTCTGATTCAAGTTTGCTGGATGTGAAGCAGCAGGGTGCATGTAAGTCTCCCACATTTCAGGTATGTGCCATAACTGTCATACAGTCACTCTCTCTGTATAAATATTCATTGTACTAGAAAAAGTGGAACAGCTCCATCAGCAGAAATGGAGAGATTCACCTCACAATGACCACAGTTACAGGGACAAGACTCCATCTTGGAAAGCAGTGACTTTGAAAAGAACTTGGGGGTTGTTGTGGATAATTAGTTAAAGCATGAGTTCCCAGTGTGGTGTTGAGGCTAAAATGACTAATGTAATTCATTGGAAGGAGGTTGTAGCACATCTGTTTGGCACAGATGTTACCATTATACCCTGTTTAGGGCCAGATTCTATTCTACCTATTGGGAATCTAAGTGGACTTAGGTGCCTAAGTATGACTCTATTCCATGGAGGAGATCCATTAAAATAATTTAAGTAATGTAATACATGAAAAGACCTTGTGGACTCAGTTGCCCTAATTTAACAATGATATGGTTAGCAGGTGAAACAATCACAGTTTCTCCATGGAAATAAATTAGAAGGTTGGTAACAAAGGGCCTTCAGTCTAGCAGACAAAAGTATAACAAGATTCAATGGCTGGAAGCCAATAACTTAATTACTAGGAGACACAGGTAAGAGCCTTATGTTCACAGATCAGCTCCAAATACAGCAAATGAAGCAAGTTACCCTGGGCCTTTTACATCACAGGTGAGTCGCCTCTAGGCACTGCACTACTGGTTGTTCTGGGATTGGTCCCACTCACACATTTTACTTTGCAAAAAGTTCTGAAAGGTCCTGGTTTTGTCTTGGTGCAGAACAGTAAAAACTATTGAAATGCCAAAAAATATGGAATACTTTTCTATCCAGCCCTTTTTTACATGACTGCATAAAACTTGCATCTTTTGTCAAATTTGTCTCACATCACATAGAAAAAATGCACCCCTGTCAATCTCGGGGCACTTCATCAACTTTACTACAAGAAAGTGATCAAAATGTACTCTTCAATGTTTCCTCCCTCTTTTCTATTAGATAGGAGTGTAGCAGCCCTCTTTATCCCTGTTACTTCAAGAATGAGAGAGCAATTTGTTGCAGGCAGCCGAGGTAGGGTCACCTTCAGGAAACTAAGCAGCCAAGGGAAGATAAAGACAGGAGCCACAAAGCTGCAAGCAACTGTCTAGGGGTATGCTGCCTTGCAGTAATCTATAGGAGCAGAGCTCCATGGAGGTAGCTGTGTAGTAGGGCTGTGAGAAATTTCACCGGCAGTTTCATTTCAATGCTGTTTTGACTAGTTTCGAGCTTGAAACAGCAAAATCAAAACAAAACAGAGAGCTTTGAAACAGCCTCAAAACAAAATGAGGCAATTTCAAAATGTTTCGAAGCTCAAGCTGGACTTGTCTGCAGGGAAACAGAAACTAAAGTAAGGAGAGGGAGAGGGAAGGAGTGCTCTCATTATTGACTGTGTAGCTGGCCAGTGACGGTCATCCTTCCCTGAGGTCCCTTCAGAAGCATTGGCACCCAGTGCTCTGGGGGAGGGATGGAAAAACTGCATAAGCAAAGGCAGCATTGTTTGAACTGCCCTGCTTTCTGCCTTGGTGTCAGTTATTGAGCTGTA